TCCAACTAGAAAAAGTATGGATCACCACACTTACACATACACACACACACACACACACACACACACACACACACACACACAAAACTTTACTTTTAAGTGTAATTTTACAGTATTTTGGAGGTTCCTTATCATTCAACTTCTGATCAGAAATACCTTTGTTGTTACTTGCTTCTAGGCATTAGGCAGGGAGTGTGAGACACAGGCAGGTTTTTAATAAATATATTTTAATAAGATGAAGTGAAAAAGAAAGGGAGGCAGACTGATAGCTGGGAAACCAGCATAGGACTGTTCCAGACACCCTGAACCAGGATGTCAGTTTAGAGGTCTGGTTAATCTATGGGACCTCTGGTAGTGGATCAGTATTTATCCCTAGTAAACTAATGGACTTTAGGAGCCTACTCCACACAAAGGGATACTCTCTCAGCCTAGACACACTCTGGAGGGAGGGTCTAGGGCCTGCTCCAAATGATAGGACAGACTTTGAAGATCCCACATGGAAGGCCTCGAGGGAACTGGGATTGACATGTAAAACAAGCTTGTTTCTAATTTAATTTCAAAAAGAAAATAAAAGGAGGAACAGTGGGAGGGACACCAAGGGAGGCATATCCTGGAGCTATAACTGATACTGATTTGAAAGTACTGGAGCAATGCTGATTTGCAGCTGAATTAGTTCTTGGATAGATATTTCTGAATAGTTAAGGACATTTAAGAAGTTAAAGGTACAGTTACATGTGGTAGAAACTACTCTGGAAGCCGAGAAACAATGGCTTGGCTATGTTTTCTGCAGATGTGTTAGAAATATCTGCCTTCAAAGAACCTTTGCTGAGTTCAAGTTATAGTACTAGCACGTGATTGGAGGATGGAAAGGGGCAAATGGGGGAATGCTCGGCAAACAGATGCCTTAGAAAACAAGTGTGACATGAACTGAAGCACAAAACAATCTGCCGGTGGTGCCAGAGGGAAGGGTGCGGTCAATGTCATGAGTAACTTGGTCCACTCTCTGAACATACTGAGGTCAGCAGTTGAAAACAACAGTGTCATTATGTTTAGTTGACTTTCTGTGTGCTAAGTGCTTTGTCTTCGACCCTCAGCTGTGTTACTGAGTCATGTCATTAGTGTTCCTCTCTCGGTAGCTATTATTTGGTGAATATTTACTTACTGATACTCTGTTGGGTATTCGTCTGTATCAAAAATAAGAAGGAAGAGACCAGATGCCCATGGGCTGATTTAAAGTGGAAATGGACTACAATGCAGGTTAATAGCTACTCTGAGAGTACAGGAAAACATGCACAGCCTCATTTCTCATTTCCTAACAGCCCCTAGGTTTCTCCAGAATTCCCTGGTAAGAATGCTGATTCTCCAACAGGGCTGCTAGGAGCTGATTGTGCTAACCCTGCCTGATGACTGTACTGCCTTCGGATTGTATTCCTTTTCCTACAAACACTAGATAACGACTTGTATATCGATAGAATAGTCCTTATGTCATATTGCCTCAGAGAGGAAGATTATTTTAGTGTTGTCTGAACTTGTCTCCCCACCCTGGTTCACAGGCTGAAAACTTAATCCACAGTGCAACAGTGCTGAGAGGCCAGGGCTTTAAGAGCTGATTATCCTGTGGAGCTTGAGCCTCCCAAGAGGATCAATGCTGTCATCATAAAAGGGTCTTTGTAGTGGGGGACATTCCTTGAGAAGGATAGGTCAGAGTATTTCCCTTTCCCTCCCCACCCTTCCTTTTCCCTCTCCCCTGCCCTTCCCCCTTCCCCTCTCCCTTTCCAACTTCTCCTCCTCCTTTTTCCTTCTAGGATGCTATGAAGCAGCAAGAAGACCCTCAACAGATGCAACCCCTCAGTCTTGGATCTCAAAACTTTGAGAGCCAGTTATTATAAATTATGGTTCTGTGGTATTCTGTTACAGAAGCATAAGATGACCTATACTTACTACATTAAAAGTTTGTCTTTTTTTTCTATTTTTTTGCTAGAAAGACAGTTTAACCTCACAATCACTAAGAATCATGTGTCATTTATAAAATGGTAGAAAAACATTGTAGTTTTGTGTGTTACTTGAGTGTTTCAGTTGTTACCAAGAGTGAAAAATACCACCAGTGTCTGTCCTGTTAGACACTGCCCCCTTCCCCAGGCCAGGGAATTATCTGCATGAGGCTTTATGTTGAAATTTAAATTGTAAACTGTTCCCTACTATCTATAATGGACTTGGGAATACTACAGATGCCTGTCTTTAAGACCAACTAACCCCTAATGCATCATTTGTCACAAAGGAAGTTGTTTCTTTAACCACAGAAGCCTTAAAAGGGAGGAAGAAAAGTAAAGATCTGCGGAGACCAACATACACTTGTGTGGTTTTGCTTTGCCGATAGGGGCCATGACTGTGCAGTGAAGGCTGAGTTTGTGGGCATTTTTGGCTGATGGACTCCAACTGCCATCTAGGTTGCAAAGATTGAGACAAGAGAGTTCAGGGGCAATCTAACTCTATTGCTCCGTAAATGTTCAAGAAGCTGTGCTGCATATCTTGGGATTTTCCAGGCAACAAAGTCCTCTCCCAATGCCCTTGCTGGTAAAGGCGGCTGCTTGAAAGTGCTCTCAGGGTCCTTAGGCCAGGATGATTCTGAAGTGATGATTTATGAGGCCCCATCACCCAGCTCTAGTTGACTCTGTAAAACTGGTTTGGGCCCTTTGACACAATTGAGTCCTGTCTATTGAGGGTGTAAGAGGCCAGAGCAAAAGGGAAAATGAACAAAAGCAGACATTTGACCCTTGTCTCATTTCCAGTGATTTCTCTCTTAAAGTTCACTTGCCTCAGAGGGCTCTTAGTGTGACTGCATCCTTTCTTTTGTCCCCAATTCATAGCTGTCCTAGCAAGTGCTTACCACTGTAAACTAGCTGGAATGGGGCTTAGAATACTGACAGCAATAGAACTAGGACTCACTCATTTTCAGGCACAGACTACATGTAAAGAACCACAGCAAGTGTTTTGCATATACCACCCAAGAACCCATTTCTTAGATGGGGACATTAAAGCACAAGGGAAAATTCACTGTGGCAAAACCTTAGGTGCCATGCTAAAGACTTTGATTTCTTAACATTTTGTGAAGGTAAATGCCATGCTTGTATTTGTGTTTGGGAAAGATAAAGTGGGTAACAGTGCTTAATATGACATTGAAGGTGAAAATCATTGAGAACTAATCCTATGGTCACTGTTCCCAAGTTTGCCCCTGGGATTCTTGAGCACCTTAGAAGCATATACAAACTAGGACTACATCCATTTATTCAGCATTCTAAAGTTATCATCTCCTTTAAAAGATTCAATTGTTCATACTGTATTTTCTCTTAGGAGTTTGGGCCTACCACTATATACTATCATTTAAGGTTGAAGTTGCATTCACTCATGAGCAAGTATCTACAGCTTCTTCTTGGGTCAATTAGATTGTGCCTTCCTGCCCATTACACTAAGTTGAACAACGCTCTCACAAGACACTAAGGCTTCAGACAGTATGATGGCTGTTGAGCTAAAATGTATATTCTAGTTTAACCAACAGGATTCTAAGAATGTACAAAGGTCTTTATAAGAGACCAAAAGTGAGAGGGAATACACAGTGCCTAACCAATGCACAAATATCACAGCATCTCCTGTACTCCAGTGTGTGGTAGTACAGAGTCTAAAGTATGAGTATAAAACCACCTGGTACAGGTCATATGAGCAGGAAAGCTGCCCTTGTCCCCCACCAACTGTACATTCAGGAGAGCAGGCCCTGCACCTTGCCTGGGCAGCACAATAGAGCCAACACCGCTGGTGGAGGTGTGGGTGAACCAGTCAGAAGTTGTGAGCATGGGAGAGTTGTCCCCAATACTTATTTGTCATGTGGCACCATGATGGGGAAGAGATGCCCCCCTCAACGCCTGAGACTGGTGGGAGAGTTGGCCCTGAGACCATAAGAGTAGGATAGCTGTCCCTGCCCCTCATCGGCTGCAGCACTTGGGAGAGAAGCCCCTACATACCATGCCTGAGCAACACAGTAGAGGTGGCCCTGAAAATGTAGGTATAGGAGAATTGCTCCTGAGGATGTGAAAGTGGCAGGACTGACCTCACCCCTTGCAAGAGGTGACCTAGCCCAGGGAATGCAGGAGAGCTCACCCTGATGGTGAGGACAAAGTAGAGCTGGCAAGAGGACCAACCTTTCAACTACCCAGGCCCAGAACCAGGATTTTGAGTTGTCCCACCCCAACTTCCCACTCCATCTGCGATCCGCTGGAGCACGTGAGGGAACCAGTACTGCAGACTTAAACCTGCAGGATCTCCATGTCACAGGGCATCAACAGCGATGGCATGTTAACAGTAAGTCACAGTAGAACTGTAAGTTTACCAGGTGAAAAACCCTTACAAGCAATAATGTGAGAATAGGAGCTGTTTTTAATGTTTCATTTTTAGAAATACAAACATTTTTCAAGAACCAATAAATGGAAATGTAGTTTCATATAATGTCTTGGAAGTATTAATATATTAGCATTATGTATTCATTTTAGTTTTCTTATTCTTATGACAAAATGGAGTATAAATCTTAAGGAAACAGAATCAAAGCTTGATTTAGGTATTTATTTTTAAAGGCAACTTAGTCCCACTAATTATTTATTGACAAATCTGATTACAACACAAAACTAAAATGTGATATGAAGCAATATAATTAAGTAAATATAAAAATATTCATCAGTTGTCATGCAACCCATAATGCCAAGAAAATGCAGTTCTTAGACCAAACCTTCCTTCAAAATATTTTGTTTAAAGCTCTGGAGAAGTTTTCTGACATGATGTGTCAACACTATTTTTGGCTCCATTACAAAGAATGGTTTGACTTTATGACATCTTGGTTCAATGCATTTATTTAAGTCTCAGATGATAATATAAACATCAGAAGACTACAGTTAGGTTGAAAGTAGACAAAACTCCAGTATCCCACATAACACATTGCAGATTTAGGTACCTAGTAACTAGCTCTGCAAGAGTTTCTTGATCACTTTCTTATATAAGGGTGCTTGCCGGTCCAGGCAAATTTTCCTCCCATTCTTCAGAGTGGCTCTGTCAGGGGAAAGGGAAGGAATGCACTCACTCTTCGGGGCCTTGGTTGGAAGAAGGGAATAGAAAGAGAGGAATGAGCAGAGAGGAGAGGGTGGGCCTGAAGGATGGGCAGGACTCACATGAGCTGGGGAACCGCACAATGGCGTCCTGCCTTGATCACTTCCAATGTGGTGATATGCTTAGGATGAATCCCAGAGGAGATGGTCTTCACACACACACAGTGAAGATCTGCATCCGCATCGCCTTCTTCAGGGCTAGCTGAGGACAAAGGGGGAGGAGGGGGAGGGGAGTAAAGGAGGTGATGGGGGTGACCACATCATCAGCTCGTGGTACCTCTAGACCTCTTCCTCACCCTTGGCTATAGCACCACCTCTCCCTCGGAAGGCAGGTGGGCGGTGAAGTGCAGTTGGCAAGCCAATTCAGAATGGCCGGTGTCTAAGAGCTCACTTCCCCACCCCTGAGGCTCCTGAACCATCTCCAGGTCTCTAGGATCCCTTCACCCGCTCTCACCACTGGTGAAGGCAATCACGGCTGGAAGAAACAACAGGCCCAGAAGCAGCAGCCCAAGGCTGGGCCAGGAGCCTCGACACACTGCAGCGGCGCTCATATTAAGAAGGTGGCACTAGATCCAAGGACTAGAACAGGGCCACTGGGGCCTGAGGCTCTAAGTGCAGACCAGTGGTTCCGGAGACTTCCCAGCACTTTTTATCACCACTGCCAGCCCAGCCCGGAAACCTGGGATACAGGATGAGGAACTGCCCTGCGGAAGCAATGACACTTGGGGAACAGTAACCAAGCTCTGGCCAGCCAAGATTAAAACAAAACAGAGCAAAAAGAAAAGCTGAGGTAAGCTATCTTAACTAGTGACTGGAGCCACATTTCCAATGTGAATTTATATGAATAATGACAGAATTAGAAAGAGTAGAACTTCAATTTAGCAAAAGGTATGTCATATGTGACAGAGTTTTCTGCTGTCACTGTACAGTGGACCAATGTGTCGCCTTCCCAACTTCCAGTTGCATTACTCCAAACTGTCTCCTGCCTTTCTTGCCTATCACTCTTCCTGTCGATGACAGTGAGTTTGACTGTTGTGTGGTTAGAGATGTGTGGTTTGAAATTTATTTTCTACCACTAGAAAGGTTAAAGTTAGTGCCTGGACAATGACTTCTGAACTTCATCCTTATATGGAAGCATTCCCTAGTCTTCTAACTACTGTCCAATCTACTGCCGGAAGCAAGATCTGTTGTCCTCATTGCTCCTTTTAGAAAAATCACCAGTTATATTTGAATATGTTGCTTTAATAACATCTTTGAGCCTAAATATTTCTCTTGTCAGCTCAAATCTAAGTGAGAAGTGAAGAAAAGGAAAGATGCAGAGGTCACAAGGAAGCAGAAATTTTGAGTCAGGTGTAGATTAGAAGAAAGGACATATAATAGGTAGGATTTTACTTGGGGGGTGGTAGAGGAGGAAGGGAGGGAGAAGGAAACTGGGATCATCATGTAATTCAATCTTGTTTGTAATTCAAATATATAAAAAAATTTTAAAAAGAAGCAAAAAAAGAGAGTGTGTGTTAGGACAGTTGGAGATCTCTGTATTACCGTATGCCACATACGGTCATAATTATGTGGCCATTTATCTGCCTCTCCTGGATAGTGATATTGTCAAGCATAATTCCCTGAAATATATGTTTCTGAACACTCAGCATTGACCACAATGGCTACTGCCAAGCATGTCATAATCTCTATGTGTTTAAGGAACTGAAACTCAAGACCTCTGCTAGGTCAGCAACAAAAGGAATGGATAAGAGAGTTTGTATATGGACATCAAGGAAATAGTTTGAGCAGCTTAGCCCCAGATTTCAGCATTTGCAGAGTAAAGGAATTCAGGCAATAAATGTCAGTCAAGGCAACCTTTCTCTACATTTAAAGAAAACAATCCAGTATAAGTACACAGCAGCAAGAGATACCTTCTTCACCTCAAGAAGAATAAACATGGTATAAACACTGCCATGCTAAGACCCAGTCTTGCCAACTCCCAGTGGGAGGAAGACTGCCTAGGGCAGGCACAAGATGCCACAGCTGTTTTTAATTATTGGAACAAAGCAGATGAAAGTTGTCTCCATTTACTGCTTCATCATGAGTTTATGGACACTTGTGTAATTATTACTGAATAAGTGTTTGTTTTACAGGCAAAATATCCTCAAGCGATGAGCCTCTGCTGGTGAAGAGGCAGAAAAGGGAGTTCTCCAATATGTGAATGACACTCTTAGCATATAGGTGTTCCCCAAAGTCCATGCACAGTTTGGAGTAGGTAAAATTCTCTTTCTCCATGAGCAGTATACACCACGAGAGTTCCATATCAAGTAGTATCTTGTGTGCCAATAACATGTGATATGTAGTGGAGTCTCCTTAGGGAAGGACAAATCCATGGAAGTATCATGCTCCTGTGGTTAAAGACCAGGATTCAAATATGCACTCTGATCATTTTATGTTCTGCAGCAGGTTTCTTTTGATCCTGGTGGGAACTGATCCCAGAGCCTCTCTCATATCCTGGGAAAGCCACTGAGCTACATTTCCAACCGAAGGCAAGTCTCATGATTTCTTAAACTTCAGGTTCCCTCCCTCCCTGTGACATGGGGAGCATTAGTGCTTCCTCCAACAACCAATTCCTAACATTTATGCATGGGCTATTATGTGACTACAGTATTTAAAGTATTTGAGTTCAATTCTTTTCATTCTCACATCAGCTCTATTAGACAGGCAAGAGATCATTCCCATTTTAGAGATGAAGAAAATGGCACAGGTATCAAATTAGTGACTTTACCTGACAATATTGTGAAATACTGAACAATTTTTTTAAATAGAGGCTTGGAATGTTGCCCAGTGGCACAACACTTGCCTACCATACATGATGTTACAATTTCATTGTAATAAAGAGAGAGGGAGAGAGATGCAGATAAGACCCATCTAACAACTTTCCATGTTTCAGACAATAGAGACGTTTTTAAAAACACAGATTGTTATTCCCCTTTTCATTGCATGCTTTTGGTGCTACTGGTGTCAAACATATTCGTTATAAAGTAAATGACTTCTGCTTACAAAAGTTATATTCTATGACTTTATTATGTTCAATTTGAAGGTTAAAACAAACATTAGAAAACATTGCAGAGGTTGCTTGGAAACAAGGCATTCTAGGTCTAAGACACTGGAAAAACTCTTATGAACAAGTATCTACTGAGCAAGTATAATCTTCTTGGCTCCAGACAGTTCCTATTATCACTGACCACTGTGAAATTTGTCAAGATATATGTATACGCATATATGTATATAACAACAGTAATGAAAAAAGAGATCAAGGATATGAATAAGAACAAGGAAGGGGCTGTGGAAAGGTTTGGAGGGAGGAAGGGGAGGGGAGAAGTGATATAACTATATACTCAAAACTAAAAGAAATAATTCAAAAAATACAGATATACAACTTGACTTAATGCATTCATAAAGAAAATTTCAACTAAAGAAATGAAAAGTACAGCACTATGTTTAGCCAAGAAATAAACCATAAATTGCATGTTACAACTCAGTTAGCTCATTTTCATCCTCTTTACACCATCCTTTAACACACCTTCTCAGAACACAATGTAATTTCTGAGACAGAATGAAAATGTATCCCCATCTTAAAGTGGAAAATGATTCCAGAACATCCAGATATCAAAACCCCACCCTTCTTGCACAGTAAGTCAACAGATAGTTGGTCAATAACCTTCCAATATCTTCATGACTATTTTCTTGATGGCAGGGGCATTTGGGTCCAGGCAGGTTTTCTCCCCACCTTTCAGTGTGGCTCTGCAAAGGAGAACAGGTCCATGAGGGTGGAGAAGAGAGTACAGGTCAAGGTGAAAAGTTCCCTAATGACAAAAAGAACAAAGAACTAGGGAACTTACATCACTTCCACGTTGGCACAGTGGACTCCTGGCCTGAACACATTCACAAAGGAAATTCTACTGAGTGGGATTCCAGTGACTATATTCGGACATCTACAGCGCAATTCAAGATATGGGTCCACATCATTAGCTTCATTGGAACACAAGAATTCATTAGTGATTATAAATATTTTTTCTTCTTTCCTTACTTGGAAATTGAAGGTATTTGTCCTTCTTTCACACAGACATTGTACATTTTTCCTATAAACTTTTAATAACAAAGCTTGTAGACTGTCTACACACATGAAATGCCCAAGTATATTTTAGATTTCTTAGTCATTACACCCTCCAAAGCCAGTAGCCCCAGTACAGTCACTTTGTACACACCCGCCGTCTCCCACATACACACCACAAGCTGCCTAGACACAAGCTGAAGGGAAGCAGCCCTCCACTTTCATATTTCCCAAAACTTCTCTTACATTTTCCAACTGTAGTGGGAACCAGCACAGTGAGGAATAGGACCAGCAGTGGCCACAGCTGTAGGTTATGGAGTGGTCTGGCCCTGGTACAGAAGGATGTAGGTCTGTGTCTGAAGCCCATGGTGGAGAAGACTGAGCTAGAACTGTTCCCAGAGCCAGGAGACTCAAGGTGAGGATGAGCCGCTGCCTTGAACACTACTGCTACTTGGCTTTCTATGCCTCCATGCCTCTTTTTATACTGCTGAAGAGGTGGAGAAGGGGAAGTGAGTGTATGTGGGATGTGACCATAAAAGGGTGGTCAAGTCCTGCCCAACCCACATTGACCAGACAGGTTAAAAATCCTGCAGAATTAGCTACAAGCTGTGCATCATTTCAAACACATTCCTGCTGTCACTCTCAACATCTGACTCTTACAGATGAATAAGCACCCGACTTAGAGGTAAGACCTAGGCCAAAATACTGTAAGTATTTTCGCTTTGTGAGGAGGGAGTCATGAGCCACACCCTTCCTACAATGCAGTGTGGGGGCTTAATAGACACCATTCACACAGCTCCTTGAGAAGGAGCTGCCCTTCCCTACCAAATGACAAAGAAAGTTCCTGTGCTGGTTCTTGATAGGTGTCAGAATTTGTTTGGCATGTGGGGTAGAAATATGAGTCACTTACTATAAAGGGTTCCTATAGATATGCACTTATGGGCTTCTTTCTGTCTTCTAAGTAAATTTTCTTTTGCAATTTCATCCAAATTTATATAAATGAAAACATTCTCCTTTAAGTTGTAAACTACTTGTTTCTACTGTATGAGTATGTGTGAACATGAAGATAAACATATCTGTTGTCCCTTTTATTTTTAAAGAAATAGTCATAAACTGTAGATACATAGTATATGAGTTAAATATGTTATTTCCTCTTCATAGTTACTCCATACTACTGCTTTTCAATGGTAGCCATCAGTAGTTATCATTGCCGAATAGAAATTTGGCATTTATATTCTATCTGCATTTATATGTATGTATGTATAAATTTATGGAGACTCACATTTAATACATGTGCACAAAAAGATCTTTCTGCACAGGGAATGAATGTTTCTATAAGGGTCAACACTCTGAGTGAAATATAAAGGATTTAAAATGTTTCATTATCTTCATTTTTTTTTGGTTTTTTGAGACAGGGTTTCTCTGTGTAGCTTTGGAACCTATCCTGGCACTTGC